TCCAGGGATCTTCTGCTCATATACTCATCCTATCTCATATAAGATATAAAGTATATACAAGATATAAAGTATATAGTAAAACCATTAAGGGCAAATTTGTAATGTATTATAATAACGGTTCTATTAATAAGGTTGAAAGTATATGTGTTATATTTTTATATGAACAACTTGATAGTAAAAATCTAAATGAATTAATAGAATTACTTGAGATTACTAAAGAGGATAAATAAAAAATAAAAAAAATGAAGTAGGTAATAATAATATAGAAATTTTGGCTAAACCATTGAAAATTCTTATAATACTCGTGCTAGAATTCAAAAAGGAATAATATCATCTTTTAAGTTAAAAGATTACTTTCTTGAATGAAGAAGAGATACAAGATTCTTTAAATATTTACAAAACATTGACATCACTTTAATTGATAAAAAACAAATAAGCTATAAAAAAGGAATTAGACTTCATAATTAAAAATTATGTATAGGAGTAGTTGGTAGATTTACTCAAAGATGGAAAAGTCATAAGTTGTAAAAGAATTTTGAAAAAGAGATATAAATTTGATGGGTTAATTGATAAATAAAAAGTAACATTAGTTACTAAATATGATTTACACAAAAGTACTATGGGAGTTGAGTATATTACATGTAGTAACACAACTTTTGAATTTCTTGCACATATATTTAAAAGTTAGAAAAATTAATAATGATCCAATCAAGATTATATCTAATAATCAAGCTTCTATATGTAGCATGAAAAATGATGAGATTGGTGCTAGAGGTAAAAATATTAATTATTATTATTATTATTATTATTATTATTATTATTATATATTTTATGTTGTACAAAAGAATGAGATTAATTATTGTTATTGATATCTCAACAAATAAAATGATGGCGGATCCATTTGACAAAAGCAATTGTTTATGAGATATTTATAAAACATGTAAAATCAATAGGCTTAAGAAAATTATTTTTTTTTTGTTAGGTTATCTAGCCAAGTAAAAAATGTTGAATAGAGTGATCAAATAGCCCTCTAAGATGTATATGAAAGGAGTGACTAAATAACCCTGCAATGCAATAGTAAAAATTAATTTGAAAACCTTGCAATAATATCTCTATAGTATTAATCTTAATCAAGTTGATTGGAGTTTGACGCTATCAAATTAGTTGTTAAGTGGTTGCATTTTAACTTAGAATTTTATAAGTGAGTAGGGATTTTATAGGAGATAAGATAGCTAATTTTTAGAAATTTTAATGTTAAAAATAACTTATTTCTCCATATATTTTACATAGTGGGGGTATTAATAAACTCAATTATAAATATAAATCAAATAAAGACAAGAAAACCACACAAAACCCACTAATCTAGAACGATAATGAATAATTATTTTTTGTTTAGATTAGCTTCTTCTTTTTTTCATAAACTATAAAAGCTACGAGGATTCTCTCTTTTCTAAAAGGGGCCTCCGTTTTAGGACTCTCCAAGACTTCTTAGAGGTCTAAATACCAACAGCCTCCACCATTGATTCTTGCAAATGAATTAGAGGATGCATAGTGAGGTGATGAACAAAGAAGAGAGTTCGATAGAAAGAGGCTTAGAAGGAGAAAAACTTGTTAGTAGAAATGTCAACTTTTGTATTCCTATTTTAGTTCCCAATCTTCTCTTGTTTTTACTTCTTCTATGGAGCCCATTTCCGGGTCCTGATTTTAAAAAGGATAGCAGTTGAAATTGTTGCAGTGATTATTTTTTAAAATAAGTTTTTAAATATATATTTTTATTTTTTTAAAATATTCAATATTAACCTATCAAAACGATTTAAAACTAAAAAAATAATTTAAAACAAAAGGTAATCTTTCCTTAATTTCAACGGGAATTCTGGATTTGTTATCATCTTGAATTTTGGTGCTTGAATTCTGATTTTGTTTCTGCTATTCTTTTCTTGTGTCATTTTGTCCTACAAATCTATTAGATAGATTTGGCTGGCAAATGGAAGGGTCGGAGGATGTGGTATCCAATGATTCCATTCACTAAAACAAGCTGGGGAGCTATCAAATGCAAACAAGAAACGCTGAGACCACTACTGTCTAGCCACAAAAATCAATGTATACTGAGACATTTGTGAAAACCCGAAGAAGCTCCAAAAGAGGATAAAAATATTTTATTTATTTATTTTTATATTAAAACATTAAAATAATTCAAGATTATAAAAAAATTAATTTAAAAATATTCAAAAACACTTTTTTAAATACAAACATTTGATATATCAATTTATTAACACACCAAACATTTGATTTTTTATTTCGCTTTCATCGAAGATCATCACTAATAATTTAATTGTTTTTTTTCATTGTACACAGCATTTGATATATCAATTTATTAACACACCAAACATCATTAATAATTAATTTATATACCCTTAAAAATCACTTCTGTATTAGTTACTCATTTCACTCATTTCTGTTATTATTCTTCATTTTTTTAATCGCGCTATCAAACGCTTACTCGTTTCAGCAAAAGAAAAAAGAAAAAAGATTGAGGTCCACATGTGCTTCAGGCTGGTATTTGGAATGGATTGGCGGTAGAAAAAAAAAAAAAAGAAAAAAGATTGAGGTCCACATGTGCTTCAGGCTGGTATTTGGAATGGATTGGCGGTAGTAAAGGAAAATAATAAAGATGGGATGCCTCTCTTTTACCCTTCTAATTAACGCGTTCTCTTCTTTTTCCCACTTTGACTGCTGAATTGCCAATGCCGCTACCCACTTTGACAAGCTCCCTCCCTCCCTCCGTCCCTCCCACCGCCCGCTAATCAAGGAAGACAAACCACTTGAATAAAGAAAAGGGTAAAATCAAAACTCCCTTTGCCTTTAATCGATTGGTCAAACCAGAAGCTAGCGTTGTGAAAACCCAATGGGAGGCCATGGAGGATGGATACCACTTGTGGCGAATGAAACTTACAACTGTTCTGCATTCTGCTCCTCCTCCTCCTCCCCCTCACTTGTCTAGAGACTTACGAGCCCTTGCCTGCAACTCCCTGGACTTGCACGCCCTCGTCTTGGACTTGGTGGAACCCATTGATCATTTTATCTGACTTGGTGGAACCCATTGATCATTTTATCTCATTTGGAGTAGATGTTACGGAACTATGTGGCTGTAACTAGTCATCGCGTCGGCCACATTATAATGAAGATTTTGATATTTAAGGGCCCTTTTCTTTTCCTTTTTTTTTCTTTTTTGAACTGCTACTTGACAGATGCACGAACAATGGAAGCTTCTTTACCTTTACCTTTACCTTTACCTTTACCTTTGTTCCATTGAACAGTTGCTATATATGATCATATTCCAGGCTTTGAAAGGACAAGGTGGGTGGCTGTCCTTTATTTTCCCTTTTCCATATGCTATGCTTCCTGTTAAATTCTGGAGTTCATTGATAAACAGTGAATCGGTGACATGAAGACACCGATAACAGTATAAATGACAGTTATATGCATATAAAAAAGATGCTCCATCCCGACCCCAAACCCCAAGAACAGGCCGGGGCCTCTCTGAATTGAATCTTTAGTAAAAATAAATGAATAAATAAAGAAGTTGTTTAGCCGTAAATGAAACCCTTATCTTGAACGTGAATTTTAATTAGGATAATGAAATCTATCGATCCAACAGATAAGTTTTTCAAAAGTATCCACCTAAAATAGGATAACAACTGACTGTCCTTTTAAGACTTTTGTGTTAGATCAAAGAATATCTTACACTCACATTTGATGCATTTATAAAACCTTTTAATCATTTTGTGTTTTGGAGAAGAAATAGGAAGTGCATGCTAAACAAAGAAAACTAAGTTGATTCATCTTTAAAAAAATTAAATTTTAAATGAGTTTTTAAAATATAATTTATATTATTTTTAAATATATTTTGTAAGTAAAATAAATAAAGATTATTATTTTATTAATTTATATTAATTTATAATTTATATTATTTTATACTTAATTTTTATTAAATAAATAAAGATGATAAGATTTGAATTCATGATTTCATGGTTATTAAGATTCTAATACGATATTAAAAAACTAATTCAAATTAAAAATTTAAATTTAAAAAAATAATTTATATTATTCATTGTAAATAACAAAAGATAAAATGATGAAATGCATTCTAAGTCTCCCGGACACAAGAAAAATAATAGTCCTCTTGCGCATGCGGAGCATGAATGGAGGTGTCAAATATCCGCGTAGGAAGAGTTTTTGATGTGCCTATGCTCTATCTATCATGAGATTAAACAAAGTGAAGAGGGCTGGGCACATGCTGTCTGCCCTAAATGGCATTATATGCTTTGCCCACCCACCTCAATCGACGGCATAATTACCCGGCCACAGCTAGCATATCATCATTTTCCTTTCATCTTTGAAGTGGCCAGATTGCCCCTTCATATTCACCCTCCTCAGGAAAGGACATGATTGTTGATAGAGAAGGTCACTTTATTAATTTCATGTTCTTCACTTCGTGGACAATCAGCTAGTGGTTAACCCCCTTTCCTCGTCGGAGAAATTTATATGAGATTGACCCCTAATTCTTAATTATAGCTTAGGGCGGGCCTATCATTACCTGGATTTAAGCTTGGTTTGCTTAGAAGATAAGGAAGGGTAATCCGCATAAGCAAATATTGGTTAGTATTTCCTTTGAATTATGGGATTTATATAGAGTCACTGGAACTAGCTGATCTTAGAGGGAACAAAATTAACTCGTATATTTTTTTCGGTGTTTTCCGGTGATGTTACTCATTAAATTATGAAAAAGAAAATTCAAATATTGACAAAATTAATTACAGAGAGAAAAATAAGTATGATTATCAAGATATAAATCACAGAAACATGAGGGAAAAGGAGTTATTTTGTTAAAGTTTGGTCTCAAGCAGGGACCACCATCATCACCAATTCCCTCCAATTTCCACCTAAAAGAGTAGAAAAAACTGGAGTGATTGAAAGGTCTTTCTATATAAAGTGTGCACCTCCACACACTGCTATAGACTAGTTATACACAGCAACGCTATCCTTTCTTTAGCCATGGCTCCCTCTCCAAGACTCATTTCCTTTCTCTTCCTCCTAGCCATTTTATCGGTGCAAATTCATGCCAGAGAGAGCCAGTTCTTTAGCAAAGTCAGTGGCGCCACCACCACTCCCTCCACTACCACCATCAGCAACAATAACGCTCAAGATAAAACACACCCCGGCAAAGAAGAAGAAGGGTTGAGCAAGCAAGAACAAGATCCAGCCTTCATCCCAGACAACCAAAATGGTTATGGTCTATATGGTCAAGAATCCACCCAGTTCCCCACCACCACTAAACTAGCTAATGCACCCTACACTACTACCACTTACCAGCCATACAAGACCCAAACCCAAAACCAAGAAAGCTACACCAATTATCCAACTGACACAACCACCAACACAAACACCAACTACTACAACAACAATGCTTACGATCAGGAGCAGCAACAAAACTTTGGTGAAACAAGCCTTCAAGAAAGTGGATACACCAACATGGGGAACCAGAAAAACAACTACTACTACAATGGTGCCAATAGCTATAGCAATGATGAGAAGCAAGGCATGAGTGACACAAGGTACTTGGAAAAAGGGAAGTACTACTATGACCTGCAGGGTGAGAACAGTAACTATAACCCAAACCAGTACCATCAGGACTCAAGAAACAACTACAATACTAGAGGTTATTACAACAACAACAACGAGAACTCCAAATACGAGTACACTAACTCCATGCAAAAGTACGACAACCAGGATGATTTCGAAGAGAGCAACGAAGAGCAGTATGTGCCATGATTGTAATCTTTATGGTCAAGCGATCGAGAGAGTGAGGGCTTTTCAATTATAGTGGGTGGTGTTAGATAATGTTGGATTATGTTTAGTGGGAGAGATTAAACTACATAAATTTTATGGTCTTCTTTGTGTTTTCAATTACTTGTGATCTTGTTTTACTCTTATCAATTGTCTTTCATCCTTCCAAAAGTTTAGGTATGAGAGCGAGCATGGTTTTGTTAACTTTTTGTTACGAGCAATATCGATCTAATTAAGTGTATATTGTACTATATTATATTATTAATCTTCAGGATTTATACGAAGGAGAAGAGTCGCTTTTTTTTTAATCCGGACTCATTTTAAACAGTGAGTGTGAGACTAGTTTTATTTGGGATTTGTAATTATTTTTTTAATAAATATATTTTTTAAAAATCAAACATATATTTTTATTTTTATAAGGATATAAGGATGCCTTAAGAGTCGCATATATCGTAATTAAATATTTAAGTGAATATCCCTTGATTTTGTAAATTAGGACACTACTTTTCTTTACTTTTGTAATCAGCACTAGTAGCTTAGCATAGCGTTGGCCACGTGCCGGGATGGGATGAGGTTGTAAACTAGTTCTTTTACAACTTCATATAGAAAATAGAAGGCAGCCAGGATGTGATATATATATATATATCCTCCATGCTTAAGATTGCACAACTGACTTTCTGGGTTGTGTTCTTTTTGGGCACTAGCTAGTGCTGTTACGTGAGGGTATCGAGCAATACACGTGCTCTCTTCACCGAGGATCTTCCTTAAGCTAGGTCGGGAAACCGTGCATTAAGTTTCTCAATTTTGCCTGCATACAAGTTCGAACTCGAGATGGAATACAAATGATATTTTTCGAATAAAATATATTTAATTAAGGAATTAGATTTCCTTGCATGCAACGTGAGTTAATCGATTAGTTGTCACTAGAAAAGACAAATGTACGTTAATTATTTGAAGAAATAAAAAAGATAATAATGTTAATTTAGCGCAGGAAAGAGATAACACAAGAAAGACAAATGTACGTTAATTATTTGAAGAAAAAAAAAAATAATAATGTTAATTTAGCGTAGGAAAGAGATAACACAAGAAAAGAAAGTGAGAGAAGATAATATTTTTTTTTAGATTAACGTGGGTGTCCGGGTCAGTTTGCGTGCACCACGACTAATTCCACAGGTCCTGAAGTTAACGACCATGTAAGCCTCCAGTGACCATCATATGAGCAACCAAGGACTCGAACCTGAAACCACAGAGGGAGCAAACCCTTTAATCCCAAGTGTTTATCATTTGGGACCTAGATGGTTGAGAAGATAATATTTAAATCCATTAGAAGATGATGATAATTTAAAAAGGAAATTGCATCCGATCTAAAATTATTTTTTTATTCTCTTTTTCATGTTTTTGTCTTCTTTATATGCTATAAACGTGTATTGTTTGATTACCATAAACAATTTTAATTAGTACAATAGCATACATTTCTTTCTTTCTTCCATCAATAACGATTTCTTTCTTCCATTAAATGACGTTTATTTAGATGATATAATCTAGTATAGGCAGCTAATAGCATAATAGCAGCTTATGAGGTTATTTATATTTGAGTAGTATAGGCAGCTAATAGCATAATAGCATATCAGGATTGTCCAGCTTATGAGGTTATTTATATTTGAAAATATGATAATAGTTATTTTTAAATTATTTTTTATTTTAAAATATTTTAAAATAATATTTTAAAAATTATTTTTATATTAACATATCAAAATAATCAAGAAAAAATAAAAAATAAAAAATTCTACTTGATCTCCATTTAGAATGCTATACCAAGGAAGATTAATTAACATAACCACAGATCATGTTAACTAGCTGGAAAACCACAGATCCGCCAAAAACGAATGGGCAAGAGGTCTTCAGTAGCTGGTAAGCCACTGGGCTAAGATCAAATGGTCAGCTTATTAGATTTTATTTATATATAAAAAAAAAAATGATTGCTGAACTCTCCGTGAATGGTGGGGATGGCTTGCCTCTTTTTTTCAACTTTGATAGCGTTCTGAAGCCTCGAAGTCTTTTACCTTTTTGACGTACTGAACATTTCAGACCACTGACTCATGTTTTGTTATGTTTAGGTGAAGGAAGTTCCAGCCTTTCACATGGTAGAACAGGTACTTGTCGAATGATCCTGCATTCCTACCCCCAACTAATTTCGGATCATATAAATTTTTTTTAAAAAAAATAGAAAGCCAAGTGAATTCTTCGTGAACTATAGTACTTTTTATTGTAACAATGTAATTGTTATTTAAAATTTAAAAAAAAAACAAAACAATGAAGTAATCAAGGGGTAACATGATATTTTTCTTATAATTAATTAGTCATTATTTAGTTGATTAGGAAAAAATTTATATTTTTAAATTTTAAAAATACAGTAAAATGACTAACTTACTTTAAGAGTAAAATTAATCTAACTTGGGGCTGGTCTCTTTTTTTACTTTTTATTTTTTAAAGCATATTAAAATAACTTGGAGTAAAATTAATCTAACTTGGGGCTGTTCTCTTTTTTTAGTTTTTATTTTTTAAAGCATATTAAAATAACTTGTATTTAACTCTTAATAGTATTTTAATAAATAAAAAATTTTAATTATAAAAGAAAAAAAAATAATTAATACGTGCAACGCCAATACAAGTGTGTTCAGTTGGTTAGCACTTATAGGACACTGTATACGGCAATGCCTCATGGTTAAACATTTACTCTCATAATGATGTTTTAATAATCACATCAATATTTCATTCTCTTAGTATTCGTGAGCTAACATATCTCTACTTTGATATTAATAACCTTTTTTTTATTTTCTTTTTCTACTTAATTTTTGCACATGATCCTTCATATTTTTAAAATAACCTTTTAATTTATTTATTTTTTAGATTTAATTTTTATTTTTTTATTACTAATTATTTTATTTGAAATAATTTATATTATTGGATTTTTTTTCAATCCTATCCTCATTTGATTTTTTTAATTTGTCAAATTTAGTTTATATTTTATTATTATTATTTGTTTTGTTTTGAATCCTTTTTTTAGTTGAATTTTTTTATTAATTTCATCCCTTTACATTTAATTTAATTTTATTTTTATATCAAACTTTATCTTTATTTTTTTATTGTTATTTTTATATATATTTTTATTGAAACTTTTTTTTTCAATTTTAACCCTTATATTTTGTTGATCAAGAATTTGACTTCATAATATTTTTGAATTTACTTTTTATGGAATAATCTGGATCTCAAAACTCGAGTCACAAATTTAAAAGATTAGTTCGAGTTAACTTAAATTTTTTTAGGATTTTTTTACAATTGATTGTTTTTCAATTTTGTTCTTTAATATTTAGATTAGGCTTTGTTAATTTTTTCTCTTTTCTTTTTATGAGATTATCTCAATCTTATGTTATGGATCATGGTTTTAGTAAGTTAATCCAAGTTAACTTAGATTATTTTTTTTTGTTTGGTTTATAAATTGTTGTTATATATTTTTTTATCATATTATTAAATTAATTGAATCTATTAAATTAATTCAAATCAATTACTCAACTATTAAATTTTCCTACCTTTTTATTAAATTAACTAACTTTATTAAATTTAGTCAAATAAATTACTCAACTCTTAGATATTTTTATCTTTTTATTAAATTAACTAAATTTATTAAATCCAATCAAATCAATTACTCAACTCTGAAATTTTCCTATCTTTTTAAAAACATTAACATAGCTAGCTTGAATATCTTATTTATAATAGAAAAGGTTTAGTTTGGCTCGCAACGCAACATGTGTCACCAATCTAAGTGGGTAATGTATGTTTATGAATTTGGAGCCCCATTTCACCAATATTCATAAAAATTGGGAACCTTTAATTGAAGAAGCAGACATGATGATAGGTATAAATTAGATGGGTGAATTGGCAGGTAGGAGTATATAAAGTAGCGGCCAATAATCACACCCACCCCTTTGTCACACCACCATTAACATCTCTATTTACGTACTTAACAGGCTAATTGAATATTCTATGGAGACAGTTCACTGATTTCTGGATGGATGACCACTGTTTTGATGATGAATCTGCCATCGGATCATCATAATTAATTCTAAGAGGAAACATTATAACTTGGCTGTAAGAAAAATTAAGTAATAACAATTGAGTTTCTTGAACATATATCATGAGTTAATAACTAAGACTATATAATTGCATATTTGAGTCTTTTCTTTTACTATTATATGGTCGTTCTTTTCTAATGAGGAGCTGTAAAATGATTTTAAACTATACTTTGAGAGGAAAAATAATTTAATGATGTTTAAAAGTTCAGATGTATCGATTTTTAACAAAAACAGTTTTTGTGGTGTTAATTTGGACTGGTAGTCAGTTTTATAGCATAGCCCCTGCGTCAAACATCAAGCCAATTTTCCTTAGACTTTCAGACACGAAATTAAGGAACATATATATATATATATTGGTTTTAGTTTTTTCTTCCATAGCAAACACTAAAAAGACATAGACATGTTACACAATAAATTAATAAAAAAAATAGTCTGGGTCAAATAATAAGAAAGACAGATTTGATAAGGAATAGACTTGACAAATATTTCATATTAAAATAAATATGGGTCAAAATAAAAGAAGACAATTTGTTTATGGGTCCAACCATGTGAATGTTATATATTGGAGTCATGAAGTTTGGAGTATAAGAAAAAAAAGATAAACTATAGGAAAAATGTGGTCTATACTTGTAAAAGAAACCGACTAAAACACATGAGAGAATAAAGATGGGTAATTTTAATTGTGCATATGAGGAGTAATGGAGAAAGTGAGTGGCTAGCTAATGGTTATCCATGACTTTTCTTATATAAATCAAGGCTTAATAAGGCTGTATAAAAACCTTTTTTTCATGAAAATGATGAGGAAATAGAAAATTATTGACTTAAACTTCTTTTTAATTATAAAAATTATTATTTTTATGTAAAATGATTTCATACAACAAATAAAGTTAAGAGATAACGGTGTTTTCCTGTAAGCATCAATTAAAAAAAAATTGGTTTTTTTTTATTTGATTAATTTTTTTATAGAAAGAATTAGAATAAACCCCCTAACTATTACTTGTTTTTATTTACACCCCTTGAAGAATTTTTTTTATTTTATTTTAGTAGTTAAACTATTACACATTTGAATTTTCAACCTTTTTGTGAGGTTTTGTTAATAAATATGTTTAAAAAGTATGCAAAAATCACT